AATTAAAAATGGATGACCCATATGTAAGAGCTAAAACTACTCTTCAAAGAAAAGATAGGCATACGATGTAAACTTAGTAAGGGACTTGCTCATTTTAGCTCCAACATGTAAAGGACTGGATTTGGAGAGTAGACCTTTGTTATGGAGAATGTTCTGGATATATTTTACTCTTCTTCCATCTGCCCAGTCAGCCCCCTCCCACTGAAAGGTAAGGGGAAAAAAGCCAAGAAATACTTATTAGGGTCACAGCCCAGGGACACAGACCCACTAAAAGACCAAGATTTCAAAAGATTACAGGATGTTTCCTTTCCCCCATGCCTTACCACCACAACAACATGACTCCAGTATAGTAACAATGGTTTACAGCTGAAAGAGCTGCAAGCAAGACATATATTCTATCTGATAAGTAGTTCTTAGGGAACCCCAAAGACAACAGGATAGACAAAAACAAGGCTATTGTAGGAATTCCAAGTCTCTGGCAACAGCTAATATAGCAAACATTAAACATACTCATGGTAAATATGAAAAAAGTAAGCATTAAACTTGCCAACATCTGTTGGCAAATTAAAATTCCCAACATCCATTGGATCATGGAAAAAGCAAGAGAGTTCCAGAAAAACATCTATTTCTGCCTTATTGACTACGCCAAAGCTTTTGACTGTGTGGATCACCACAAACTGTGGAAAATTCTTCAAGAGATGGGAATACTAGACCACCTAACCTGGCTCCTGAAAAATCTGTATGCAGGTCAAGATGCAACAGTTAGAACTGGTCATGGAACTGGTTCCAAATAGGAAAAGGAGTACATCAAGGCTGTATATTGTCACCCTGCNGACCCTGATGCTGGGAAAGATTGAAGGCAGGAGGAGAAGGGGATGACAGAGGACGAGATGGTTGGATGGCATCGCCGACTCAATGGACATGAGTTTGGGTTGACTCCGGGAGTTGGTGATGGACGAGGAGGCCTGGCAGTCCACAAGGTCACAAAGAGTCGGACACAACTGAGCAACTGAACTGAACAGTTATCACATGATACACTGAATCAAAAATACATTTCCTCTGGCTCTTAAGTAGTTGAATTTGAAAACTGGGGTTTCAGAGAATCTTGATTTCTATGATTATTTTTAATGAAACCAAAGGAAAAATCAACCAGATATTGTTAATACATTGTCCAAATACATACTAGACTTTGCTCATCTATCTGCATGGTTGACTGACAATGAGAATATAAAATGTATACTTTTGCATATTTCATTCAGTCTATCAACTTCTTAACAAAGAAAATTTTTAAAAAAAATTCTGATCTCCTAAATGTCTTGCACACCTTGTACTTTAAAAAGTGATTTGCTGTCCTGTGATAATGAGACTTTCATAATGAACTTTTTGGGTCATGTTTTAGTTTCCTCAAAACATGCAGAAGCACTTAATGAGACTTTTTACTTTATAGAAATGAAAGAGGGTATTCCCTTAGACCTGTGCCTACAAGGTGGCTATCATGATTGATAGCCATAGAAAAGATGTTAAAATGCTGGTCTGCCATTAAGTCACATTTTCAACATGTGGGACAAGAAGAACAGCCTTGTCTGATTTGTAAATAGTTGAAGAAAGGAATAAAGGACAGGATTACATTAAAATAATTTATATGCTGTTTCTCTAAATCTATTTGATCATCTCTGAATAGGTCATAAGGAGCACAGGATGAACTATACCTCAGTTGTTCGATATTATGTATAGGTTATGACAAAAACTCATACAGTGAAAAAAGTGAAATTTATGGGAAATAAGACTGACTCAGAAATTAAAAATATGTCACCAGAAAGAGCAGTCAAGTTGAACAGTACTAAAAACTGCAACTTATTTGAAATTCACATTCAGTTTGAATTACCTCTGTGCTTTGAAAACCTCTTCCCTGAGAAAGAAAAGTTTAACATGTGATGATATCCAGTGTGCTTCAGAGTATCTATAATAAAAACAATAGATATTGTAGACATGGAGAACCCTACATGATGAATTTAAGGATATGCATGCATGCTAGTCATGTTCAACTCTCTGTGACCGCACAGACTGTCACCCACCAGGCTCCTCTGTCCATGGAATTTTCTAGGCAGGAATATTGGAGTGGGTTGCCATTTCCTCCTCCAGGGGATCTTCCCAAACCAGGGATTAAACCAGAGTCTCTTGTGTCTCCTGTATTGGCAAGCAGATTCTTTTATCACTGCGCCACATGGGAAGCCCAAATTTAAGGTTGCTAAGGGTCAAATCCCAAAAAGTCAGTCTACTAAAACAAGCCTGTAGATACAAAGTGAACAGACATTTTTGGGAAGCTGGAAACTAATTCTTACAAGTCTAGAAACCTGCTATTGCTAATTTTGTTGTTGTTCAGCCACTCAGTTGGGTCCAACTCTTTGCAATCCCATGGACTGTAGTCAAGCTATTGCTAGTAAGTCAAGCTATTGCTTGCTTCAGGGGCTTCCCTCATAGCTCAGCAAGCTATAGGGGGTTTCCCTGATAGCTCAGTCGGTAAAGAGTCTGCCTGCAGTTCAGGAGACCCCGTTTCAATTCCTGGGTCGGGAAGATCCCCTGGAGAAGGGATAAACTCCCCATTCCAGTGTTCTTGGGCTTCCCTTGTGACTCAGCTGGTAAAGAATCTGCCTGCAATGCGGGAGACCTGGGTTTGATCCCTGGGTTGGGAAGATCCCCTGGAGAAGGGAAACACTACCCACTCCAGGATTCTGTCCTGGAGAATTCCCTGGACTGTACATGGGTTGAAAAGAGTCAGACACAACTGAGCGACTTTCACTTTTACTTTTCACTTGCTAATAAGTCATATTCCATGTTCAGATTCCTTTATTGACAGGCTATCTAACTTGATGTCATTGCATTGGCCTGCCACCAGGGGTCAGTGTAATGTGGGCTTCATAAAAGGTGACCTCAGTTGTTCAGTCGCTTGGTTCAGTCATGTCTGACTCTTTTGCGACCCCATGGACCACAGCATGCCAGGCTACCCTGTCCTTCACCATCTCCCAGAGTTTGCTCAAACTCATGTCCATTGAGTCGGTGATACCATCCAACCATCTCACCCTCTGTCATCCCCATCTTCTCCTGCCTTCTATCCTTCCCAGCATCAGGGTCTTTCCAATGAGTTGGCTCTTCGCATTAGATGGCCAAAGTACTGGAGCTTCAGCTTCAATGTCAGTCCTTCCAATGAATATTCAGGGTTGATTTCCTTTAGGATGGACTGGTTGAATCTCCTTGCAGTCCAAGGGACTCTCAAGAGTCTTCTCCAACACCACAGTTCAAAAGCATCAGTTCTTCAGCTCTCAGCCTTCTTTATGGTCCAGCTCTCATATTCATATGTGACTACTGGAAAAATCTTTAGCTTTGACTAGACAGATCTTTACTGACAAAGTGATGTCTCTGCTTTTTAATATGCTGTCTAGGTTTGTCATAGCTTTTCTTCCAAGGAGCATCTTTTAATTTCATGGCTGCAGTCACTGTCTGCAGTGATTTTGGAGCCCAAGAAAATAGTCTTACACTATTTCCCCATCTATATGCCATGAAGTAATGGTACTAGATGCCATGATCTTAGATTTTGAATGCTGAATTTTAAGCCAGCTTTTTCACTCTCCTCTTTCACCTTCATCAAGAGGCTCTTTAGTTTCTCTTTGCTTTCTGCCATAAGAGTGGTGTCCTCTGTATATCTGAGGTTATTGATATGTCTCCGAACAGTCTTGATTCCAGCTTGGTCATCCAGCCCAGCATTTCACATGCTTTACTCTGCATATGATGGACATACACATATGGTGTATGTTATTGATATTTATGCCAACAGTCTCAATTCTAGCTCGTGATTCATCCAGCCCAGCATTTCACATGATGTACTCTACATGTGATGGACATGAGTTTGAGCAAGCTCCAGGAGTTGTTGGCACAGGGAAGCCTGGCATGCTGCAGTCCATGGGGTCACAAAGAGTCACAGACACAACTGAGCTACTGAACTGAATTGAACTCTGAATATAAGTTAAATAAACAGGATGACAATATACAGCCTTGACGCACTCCTTGACTTTTGAATGTTCTCAGTTTTACCACTACATAAAATAAGGATATCCTGAAGACTGCAGGCATTGGAGATAAGTATTATTGGAAGAGGACACACAAAGAGCAAAAATATTTTATCATGGGACATACACATCAATTTTTATTAATTATAAGTAATATCTAATTATCCCTACTGTATTACATTCAGCTTTTTAAAAGGTCTTATGTATCTTAAGATGTAATAATATTGCCTATAAAATGTAAATATTTTATAAAAAGTTAAAATCAGAATCAGAGGAAAACACTATTGATAGTGTTCTGTTATTCTCACCCATACTGTTTAATTGGTTTCACTATTAAATATTACTAACTGCCACTCTTAACTAGTCCTGTTGTTTTTCTTAAATAATGACATTTATGTAACAGAATAGTAAATAATACAGAATAATATATAACTTTAAATAAACAGCTAATTTATACTATATGTTAATAATATATTATGTATTATTATATATTAAAATAATATGTATTATGTGTTAACATAATATAATTATTATGTTAATAATAATAATCATGTATGTGTAAGTATTTATTCATTACATATTATAATGATTCTTTGGTCTGATATAGCTGTGTCCTGAGTTGGGGCTCTAAAAGTTAGTCACTCTGCTATACATGTAGATGCCCTTCCTGGAGCCTGACATGCAGAATGCAGTTCTGAATTGCTTGATAATTATTGGACAGGTATTTCTACTGTTTGCTCTTCTCTTGAAACAGTTTCATCTAAAGGCTTCCAGTGGAAATATGCACTAATATATTTCATGTGTCTGAATAAGAGAGTGGCAGGTTGAAACTCAATTAAGCTAGCAATTGAGGCAATTGTCAAGAAAGTGAAAAATTAAGTTTTGTTAACCTTAAAATCTAAGTTCAGAAATTTTATGGTATATTCTCTTTTGTAGCAAAAATACCTGGACGAGTCCCTGCTTGGCTTCTAAAAAGGTATGTGAGGTAGGAGAACTACACCCACTTTCTTCTACCAGATTACCTCATTCCCTTTCCTCTATCTTAAAAGATTTTGATTTAAAAGTGACTTTTTGGTAACAGTTTCCAGTTGTGTCCTTATAGTCTACATAGTGTCTGTGACATAGTGTCTGGGACTGCATAGGAGTGCCCATATGATGAATTTTGAAGGGTTCTCAGATTTCAGAATCCCTAAACTATCCCCAATGGATGCCTTAACATCTGCAGTTAGACATTTATTTCTATGCAATCATCATTGCTTTATCTGAGTTTCTCTCTTCTGGCCTAAGATAATACTTAGAATGAATGACTATCAGATGTTTTACTTTCTATAATAGCAATTGAAGCACTGGTCACATAGGGTTGATATTATTAGTACCTAAAAACTAGAAAAGGGACAGGAAGAGAAGTCAGGGATAGCATAGATAAACACTGTTGTTTTGTCTAAACCAGTAATTATAATATCACAAGCCCCCATGGCAAGTTTCCCCGTCTTCAGGAACAATGACCTAAACAACCATCTCAACAGTGGGCTTGTAAGTATGAGAACAGACTGAATTTGCACAACAGAGGAACATGGTACGCCTGTTCTTCCTTCCTCGGCCTCTTTTCTAAGAACTTAGTTTCTGCTCAGCAATGGGTTCTGTTGAAAGATGTAGGCTTCTCTTGCCTCAAAAACTAGAAATTTAGGTTAAGAAACCACCTTTGGCCATACCTGTACTTGGATCTAAAGCTGATTAATTTAAACTAAGATTTAACTTTTAAAAAATATATTACTTATCTAAGGGGCTTCCCCTTATAGCTCAGTTGGTAAAGAATCTGCCTGCAGTGCAGGAGACCCTAGTTCTATTCCTGGGTCAGGAAGATCCCCTGGAGAACAATAGGCTACCCACTCCAGTGTTCTTGGGCTTCCCTGTGGCTCATCTGGTAAAGAATCCACCTGCAATGCTGGAGACCTGGGTTTGATCCCTGGGTTGGGAAGACCCCGTGGAGAAGAGAAAGGCTACCCACTCCAGTATTCTGGCCTGGAGAATTCCATGGAAATCCACTTTCACATCTTATCTATGGAAAGAAATGAAATAATACAAGAAAATAACATGATAGAAAGTAATAGACAAAGTACTAGAGTTAGAAGGTGTGTATTCTAGACCTTCCCCTCCTTCTTATTAGTTATGTTATCATGAGCGAATAGCTTAACCTCTCTGATTCCTTAACGTTCCCTTTCTGATATAAGATGGGGATAACATTGGCCATCCTGCCTATATCAGAACTGCTGAGAGCCCCAAGTAAAGTAATATCTGTAACAATACCTTGCATACTGTGACATGTAATATACAGACATAACATGGCATTTCACTACTTTTAATTAGATAGTTCATTGTTAACATTGAAATCAGAGTACCCAATTTCTTTCAGCTCCCAAACTGTGATTCAGAAGCTTAGCAGAGACCAACAGAGATATGTTTTAGGAACTCACAAGAAAAACCAGGAAACAGTTCAGCCCAGGAACAATGATTTATATGAAAACTGTGTCAAAGTGACATCCTTGAAGTGTCCTCTGAACAAACAGACTCGCATTTGGACTGAGACGACAAGGATACCAACAGAAGGTGTTTTTTTAATGTTTAGGATTTTAATAAATGCCAAGGTGGCTTCTACCATATCATAATTAATAAATTGTATGAAATCTGGATTATGGGAACTGTTTTTATAAGCAGAGAAGATAGACAGCCATTTTACTCCACTCTGAAAAATACTTGCCTTATTTAATTTCTATACAAGTTGAATACAGAAGAAAATTATTTAATATAGCCTTGAAAAAGTCAATTTAATTGCATTGTTTCCATCACCTCTTTATTATTGATGCCCTTTCCATATCATAGAATAAAAATGTAATGAGTTGATACACACAACATGGATGAATCTCAAAATCACAGTGCTGACAAAAAGCAACCAGATGCAGAAAAACTAAAAACTACAAGAAATCACATGTATGTGAAAAGCAAGCTAATCTCTAGAGACAGAAAGTAGATAACGGCTTCCTCGAGTAAGGGAAAGAGTAGGGGAGGAAGGAAAGAATGGACTGTAAAGGAGCATCAGGAATCTTTTAGTGATCATCTTTTCTAGATCTTGGTTTATGGTAGTGGTTTCACAGGTATTTACAACTGTGGAAACTCTAGGGCGTTGGGCCAGAGCAACTAGCTGGATTAAACTGTCAGCCACCAGATGGCAAAGACCAAGAGTGGAGCATCACTTCAGTTTAGACTTGTTCCTTTTGACACGCCTTTAGACACTGAAGTGGAGGTACTGAACAGGCAGTTGGATATGAGTTCAGAGTTAAAGGAAGAGATTTGGGCTGAAGATGCATTTAGGAATTTTCAGCATAAAGATAGTATTTTAAGGCATGAAGCTGGATGAGATTTAAGTGAGTGTAGATATAGATGAGGGTTAAGGAGCAAGTCCCTGGGAACCCCCAACACTGATGCATCAGGAAAAGAGTAAGAACCCAACAAAAGACTGGAAAGCCCCGCCTTGAGTAGGAGGGAAAGCAAGAGAATGTGCTGTCCTGGAAGCGTAAGTGAGAAAGTGTATCCAACAGGGCATAATCAGCCAGGTCTAATGCTTCTGATTAGGTGAGATGGTTTTACTATTTGATTTTATAACATGTAGGTTTTATTTGGGGATCTTGTTCAGGGAAATTCCAGTAGAATGATAGAGGTACAGGTCTAATTAAAGTGTACCTTAAAACAGAAGAGAAACTGGAGACCATATTTATAGAATTTTGCTGCAAAGGGGAAACTTGATTTTCAGTGTTCCCTACTGCTCCCCCACACCCCCTGCTCTTAATTTGAAATTATGTTTCTCAGCCTTCCCATCTTTCCTGAGCTGAGATTCTCATGGCTTTTTATTATATTATCTTTAAACATGTCTTGATGAATCTTGATGACATATAAATAAAAATTCTACAGTTTTCTTTTTTTACTGGAGTAAGTCATTTCAGAGGGAGTCAGTTTTTGATGCTGCCTCCTCCTTTAGAGTATATACATTTAGGGCTATACATTTTCCTCAAGTATGTCATCACTCAGTTTCTCTCAGAAGTCTGTCCTTTCCCATTACTGAACTATTCAAGTGGAGATGAGCCGGATCTGTCAGAGATTCACGAGCAGCCTAGGCAGACTTCTCCAGTTCTGGGAGAGTTTATATTTGTAATGAGTCATGGATATATGTTCCTTTGATTCAGACTCCCTTTCTGGCTCCCCTGAATTAGCCTCCTAACTTGTCCCTCTGCCTCACTTTTTTCACCCTGACAACCTCCTGGCTGCCACACTGATCTTTCAAAAATGCATATCTAATTATATCACTTCCATGTATAAAGGCCTCCTGACAATTCATTTTTTAAAACATCAAGCATCTGCCTGTCACACATGATTCCTAGCTCAGGAAATCTCCCAGAAGTACTATTATTACAGACAAGGTCTCCAGTTGTGAACCACTTATTCACACCTACCTGATTTCTAGTCATTCTAAACCTTACTTGTGATTTCCTGAGTGTGCTGTGCTGGTCCCACCACCTAGACTACTGTTGCTGTTGTTGTTCGGTTGTCCACTGTCCAGCTCTTTGCAACCCCATGGACTGCAGCACGCCAGGCCTCCCTGTCCCTCACCATCCCCCAGAGTTTGTTCAGGCTCATGTCCACTGACATGAACATGGACATAGACATGAACCTAAATTACTACTCTTTTTTTTTTAACTAGCTCACATACCTGTGCATCAAGACTCAGATTACTTAGGAATTAGGAATATTTCTTTTTCCAGCTCTAAGTATGACTGGAAGTACCTCTTCAGCAATCCTACAGTAAGCACCTTGCCTTATCCTAGAGATATATATTCTAACTGAGGCTTTACTTCTCCCTCTAGTCCCAACTGTTGGCATATTTAAGGCAAGTACTATGTACTTTTCACATCTATTTACCAAACTAAACATAATACCAGCTACATAATAATGTTTCAGTGAACAGCCTAGGAATGGCTTCTCCAGAGACTGTAGATGAACTCATTTTATTTGCCAGCACTGCCAGATATTGTAATCATACATACCCTCATTAATTTTCTTTCAAGTCTAGTTTAATTCAGTGAGTGCTTTAGTCATCTGTTTCCTTTCTTTTTAGTAACAGACAATTCCCTTTAAAAAAGCATTATTGTGGATATTTCAAGCATAAACAAAAGTAGAATAGAATAATGAACCACTGGTGCCTGTCATCCACCTTTTAATAGTTATCAGCATCCTGCTATTCTTGTTTCATTTATATTCCCACTACTTTTTTTTTTTTTTGCTGAAGTAATTAAAGCAAAGTCAGCAAATCATATTGTTTTGCCCATAAATACTTCAGCCTATGTCTCTTAACTAGATAAACCTTTTTTTTAAATAAAGCATAATGTATTTCTTGCTTTTATTCTAAGTGTATTCTACTTTTTTCTTATGCTGTCTACATACATAACAATTTAGGCATCATAATTATAAGTAATACTGCTACATCCTTTAAAATGTCTACCAATTTTCCTTCAAATTTTACTTAGGGTTCTTTTTTTCCCCTCTCTCTACCTATATATATTGAATTTTAAAAATTCTGTTAAAATACACATGACGTAAAATTTACCATCTTAAGTATTTTTAAGTATAAAGTTCAGCAGTGTTGAATACATTCACATTGTTGTACACAGCCTCCAGAACTCTTTTCATCTTGCAAAACTGAAATGCCATAGCCATTAAATGATAACTGCCCATTGCCCACTCCTCCTAGGCCCTGGCAGCTATCCTACTTTGACTATTCTAGGTATCCAATATACATGGAATCAAATATTTGGAAAAACAAATACATTATTTGTCTTTTAGTGACTGACTTATTTCACTTAGCATAATGTCCTTGAAGTTCATCTGTGCTGTATCAGAATTTCCTTCCTTTTTAAGGCTCAGTAATATCCCATTATATATATATACCACATTTTGCTTATCCATTTATCTGTCAACGTGCACTGGAGTTGCTTCCATCTTTTGGCTACTGTGAGTAACACTACTGTGAACACTGGTGTACAGATAACTCTCCAAGATATAATCAGTTCTGGGCATATACCCAGAAGTAGAATTGCTGGACCATCAATTACCCTATGGTAATTCTATTTTCAGTTTTTTGAGGAACCGCCATACCGTTCTCCATATCAACTACACCACTTTACATTCCAGCCAGCAATGCACAAGGGTTTTAATCTCTCCACGGCCTTGCCTACACTTTTCATTTTCTGTTTTTTGACAACAGCAATCCTAATTGGGTATTGAGTGGAATAAACACTTTTCAAATGAACTTTATTTTTTAAAACAGTTATCCACACATTTTTAATGTTATTATACTCTTACCACAATTAACAAAATAAGCAATAATTCCTTCATATCATCTGTTAATAAATAATAAAGAAGGAATTTCTAACAGACTTTTCCCATAGTTTTCTCTATATCTTGTCCTTCTACTTGCTCAAACAGCAGCTTTGGAGCTACCACTGATTTCTCTCTTCTTTTCTCATCCCACATCTAATTCATTGGAAAATCTCAAAATACACTCAGGATTCTTCCCTCCCTTGCTCACACCTCTCCCTCCGGTGACTGCCACCACCCTGGTCCAAGCTACCGTGCGCTCTCTTGTTAGCAGATTCTCTCAGTAGCCTTCCATGAGCTCTCCCTGTCTGTCTACCCCTGCGCCTCTTCAGTCTGTTCTTGGTTCAGCAACCAGCATGATCCTATTAAAGCAGATCTGAGATGTGACACTCCTCAAAGCCTTCCAGGGCCTTCCTATTTCACACTCAGTAAAAATCAGAGTCCTTACAGTGGCCTGTGAGGCCTTATGTGAACTAAGTCACCCATCTAGCTCATATCTTTCTGCTTATTGATTCTGCTTAGCCACGTGTCTCCTCACGGTGCGCCCTGCACACACGACCATGCTCCTGGCTCGGTGTCTTTGCACTTACTGCTCCCCTTGCTGCAAATGCTCCTCCCTCCAACAGTGGCTTGACTCACCCCCTAAGTCCTCTGACATGGCAGCATCATAAGGAGGCCTTCTCTGACCACCTTTTTAAAAACAGAAATCAGCCCCTCCCCAAGAATTCTCTATTCCCCTTCCCAGCTTTATTTTCTCCCATAAATTTTATTATCTGACAGATGTTTTGTTTGTTTACTTCTGCCCCATAATTAAAGTATAAGCTTGAGATGGATAAGAATTCTTAGATAGAATCTTTGGCAGATAATGCTCAGTAAATAACTGATTAATCAATTCAGTTTATGTATCTATACATATTTTTATGGTTGCTCCCCAGATCTGCATCACGATTTAAAAAGCACTATGAAAGAATGTCCATCTTTCCAAAGCAAGAAGGCTGATATAAACTGGACAGATGATGAAAAAAGAATCTACAGGGATAAAAAAATAGCTGAAACTCAAGAAATATTGCAGTATTTGCTCCCCATCATGCATAGCACTAAAAATGTGCAAACCACTCAGATAACAGAGGTATTCAACCCAAGAACCAGCTTTCAAATCCAACATCAGTAAGTCAATACAATTTTGTCATTCTTAGCTATTTAATACATGCACTCTTTTATAAAGAAATACGGTTTATTGATTCCACATCCTATTAAACAAACATAGGCTCTTAATAGAGGCAGCCGCACCATATTTGACAAAGGCCTAAAGCCATAAGAAAACACTGGATATGTGAAGAAGTAAGGTTATCAGGCCTTATTTGATTATTTACATGAAACCACTCATTAGTTTGGATCTATAAGACCAAAAGTAAACTAATACAAATAAAAGACAATGACAAGCTGAAAATAAGAACTATAATATTAATATTATCAACAGATTTGATGAAGTACTTTCTATATGCTACACAACATTCTTTGTTTACACAAACACATTTTATATTCTACACATAAGGAAACTGAGATGCAAGTCTATTACTCAAATTTGTTCAAGGTCACACAGCCAATAGGCAGCAACTGGACTCAACACTAACTAGACATTTAGAATGCAGAGTCTTTCATCAGTATGCTTGGACATTTCTCTTCATAATATAAGAAACAGAGGGCCAACATACTTAATAGTCAAAGACTGCATACAAATCAATGACAGAATCATTAATATTTTAATAGGAAAATGGGCAAAGGCTATGAGCCAGAAATTCACAAAAAAAGACCAATAATCACTTTAAAATGTTCAATCTCACTTAAATCCAAGGAATATAAATTAAAACAATAATGAAATTCTCTCATTTTTGTCTCTCTATGGAAGAATTCACTCACTGACTGTTGGAATAGAAATGGTACAATTTCTGGAAGGCAATATGATAATATATGAAAATCCTTAATATCTACATTTGTTTTAAGAAATTCTACCTTTAAAAAAATAAAAAATAAAAATAAAATAAAAATTAAAAAAAAGAAATTCCACCTTTAGAAACCAGTCTTAAGGGGAAAAAAGCCTCAGGAAGGGCTAGAAGACTTCTGTAGTGATGTTCATTGCAGTATTGCTTACAGGAGCCAAAGAAAAGAAAATGAATTTAAATGTTCAACAATAGAAGACTGCTTAAATAAATTATTGTATAGCCATAAACTGAAAGATTATGTGGCTATTAAATATATCAATGTATATATTAACATAAAATGATGTTCACAATATATAAGTGAATAAAAGATGCAGACCAGCTTGATTTGCTATGGTTGTATTTAGGGATTATGTATATACATTTAATGTGTGCAGATTATACATAATCAAACATATAACTAGAACAAATCCTGGAAGCACATATTCCCAACAGTGATTATCTCTGCAGAGTCAAAGTACTGGCAGAGTATGATGTTCCTCTTCCTGTTTTTTTTTCCCTAAATTATTATTAATGCATATTTCTTCATTGTAAAAATCAGTGAAGTTAAAAAAATTAGAAAAAAAGGCACTTGATGGCAGTTTCTAGTGGGATGGGGTAGCTGTCACTGCCTTACAAAAACTGAATCTAATCAGTCAACTAATATGAGAGAAGCAAATAGTACAGGCAAACAAAGCATCAAGTATGATGATATCAGCAAAATAAACAGCAGAAAATTAATTTAAAAATATAATGGACCTACCTAGGCAAAGGAACTGAGAAGCTGAGATCGATATAAGCAAGGGGTCTGAGAGATAATAATTAGGAGATCACTTAATTTTTAGTCATTATTTTCACAAGTGTTAATGTGTTAGTCGCTCAGTCACATCCAACTCTTTGAGACCCCATGGACTGTCACCTGCCAGGCTTCTCTGTCGATGGAATTCTCCAGGCAAGAATACTGGAGTGGGTGGCCAGTCATTCCCTTCTCCTGGGGATCTTCCCGACCCAGAGATCGAAACCAGGTCTCCCACATTGCAGGTAGATTCTTTACCATCTGAGCCACCACAGATTCCTTACATTCTTTGAGCCTAGACATGCACTCAGTGTGAACTGGCCTGAGCCTAAAAGTGTAAGTAAATAATAGTCTTTATTAATTAAGAACTCTTTGGTTACATGTAACAAAATTCTATCTAGTTTAATCAAAAAGCATAAGGTAGGGCAGAGGGGGAAGAACTGTAAGAAAATGGAAGGCTATTCATGGAAATAAGAGAGAGAATGAATTCAGGCAAGATTCATGCAAGGCCTGGAATTGGGAACAGAAAACTATCCATCTTCGGTCTCTGCTTTTCTCTCTCTGCAGAAAAGTCTTCACACCCCTGAATCACAAATGTGTATCCTACAGCTTCTGCTGCTGCTAAGTCACTTCAGTCGTGTCTGACTCTGTGCGACCCCATAGACGGCAGCCCACCAGGCTCCCCCATCCCTGGGACTCTCCAGGCAAGAACACTGGAGTGGGTTGCCATTTCCTTCTCCAATGCATGAAAGTGAAAAGTGAAAATGAAGTTGCTCAGTCGTATCCAACTCTTAGTGACCCCATGGACTGCAGCCCACCAGGCCCCTCCATCCATGGGATTTTCCAGGCAAGAGTACTGGAGTGGGGTGCCACTGCCTTCTCCAGTATCCTACAGCAGTTTCACTTAAAAGACTGACCCACTATCTCTCATTACCAATTCTAAATTATAGGAAAGATAATTGGATTGGCAGCATTCCCAGTGAGTAGAGGTCAAATAGTTACAAATGTGGCTGACTGAAGCCCTACCTTGAGAGGCGGTCCCCCAGAGAAGAGAAAATTTTGCCTAGGCTGGACCATTCCCAAAAGTATCTGGTATAGATATACAAGGAAATAAGAAAAATTAGGAAAGCAGAAAGCAACAGATGACCTTACTACATATTTAACACCATCCATTTTCAAAAGATTATAATGAGGCATCTTGACCCCTCTGCTAGGCAGTGTCAAAGAAGGCGAGTACCAGGTCAGGACTTCCATCCCCAGTGGCCTGGAAAGGTCCCCACCCCAGAGTGTCACTGGGAGCCTCGTGGGAGACTAGACTTCCATACCCACTGGACAAAAATAAGGTGCCTTTCCCCCTCCTCACTATGGGGGTGTCAGAGTAGGTCTAGAAGAGAGTCAGAACCTTTACTACTGCCCAGCAGTAATGAGACCACCTCTATTGTAGTGTGGGTGGAGGCTACACAGGGAGATGAATCTCCCATGCCGGTCCAGCAGGAATGAGAAGCTGCTCCCCTCTGGTGTCAAGCAGTCCAAGTGTGGAACCTGGACTTCTCCTTACATCTGTTAGTAATGAAGACTCACCCATGCTACAGCAGAGTCACACAGTCAGTTAAAACAGAAGGTTTAAGATCCAGCCTCATAACACTATATGAGAATGTCCATGTTTTAGTCAGAAATAAATCATCATATCAAGTATGAGGAAGATTAAACCTGATAATCAGCAAGTGCAAACACTGAGAATTATGGTAACAACAGAATTTTCTGAAAAAGATTTTTAAAGCAGTCATGATAAAAAATAAAATGTTTCAACAAACACTTGAAACAAATCAAAAGAAAATATAAAGCCTCAGTGTGGGGGAAAAAGGTGAAGTCAGGCAGACAGAGAAGGAGAGAAAGAAACAGAAGATAATAAGAACCAAAGGGAAACTTTTGGATGGAAAAACACAATAACTGAAATAAAAGGCTCAGTGGCTAAACTCAACAACACAATTGAGGAGAGACTGGGAAGAATCTATGGACTGGAAGAGACAGAACAGAAATAACCCAACCTGAACACCAGAGAGAAAACAGACTGAAAATAAAATGAACAGAGCCTCAAGGACCTATGGAACCATAAAACAAAATCTAACATTCATGTTTTCAGAGTTCCTGGAAGAGAGGAGAAAGCAGCAAGGCTGAGAAGGTCCTCAAAGGTACTCCAAATCTGGCAAGAGACATAAACCTACAGATCAAACAACTGAGCAAACCATCAACAGGATAAACTCAAAGAAATCATGCCAAGATATTCCAAAATTTAACTTCCGAAAACTAAAGAGAAAGAATAATTCCTGAAAGCAGCCAGAGAAAAATGACACCTTATTTATAAGGGAAACAAGTTTAATTACAGCCAATTTCTCAGCAAAAACTATAGAGGCTAGAAGAAGTGGCACAATGTTTTCAATTATTGAAAGAAAGGAATTGTCAACCCACAATCTGACACACAGCAAAAATAAAGGAGCACTCAACAAATGTTAAGATGAAGGAAAACTAAGAGAATTTTTCACTAGAAGACCTACACTAAAAAAATGACTAAATTTTTTTAAACAGAAAAAATAGAGGAGGAACATCAGGAAATAGATAATGCTGAGCAAATGTACAGGTAAATACAATAGGAGTTCCTTCTTGAGTTCTCTAAATATGTTGATGGTTGAAGCAAAAGTTAGTACACTGATATGGTTCTAAATGTATCTAAAGGAAAATATTTAAGACAGTTACAAATATGAGAAGGTAAGGGGGACATAAAGGAAGGTTAGATATCTATATTCCACTCAAGCTGGGAAAATTACACCATTAGATGTGATAAGTTATTCATGGGTAATGTAAAAGATACTTAAAAATATACACTCAAAAACACTACAGATAAATAAAAATGGAATTTTTATGCAACCTAAAAACTCCACCAAACCACAAAAGAAAAAAGGAAAAAAAAAAGGAACAAAGAAGAAATACAAAATCAACTGGAAAACAAGGTTTAAAATGACAACAATTCATATATATCAATAACTACCTTAAGTGTCAATAGACTAAAAGACATAGAGTGGCAGTTGAATAACAAAACATAGCCTATAATATTCTGCCTGCAGAAATCCTCAGCAAAATATTAGCAAACCAAATCCAACGACATATAAAAAAGATCATACACCACAATCAAGCTGGATTCATCCCAGGGTCAAAAGATGGTTCAACATATGCAAATCAATTATGTGATATGACTACATCAACAAAAGAAAAGACAAAAAGCACATGATCATCAGATGATTTGATGATCCTCTTATCATCAATAGCTGCAAAAAAATCATTTGAAAATTTATTCAGGGTAGAAACTCTCACCAAAGTGGGTACAAAGGGAACATACCTCAGCACAACAAAAGCTATGTATGATAAACACACAGCCAACATAATACTTGATGGAAAGTTGAAAGCCTCACTAAAAGCTGAAACAAGACAAGCATGCCCATTCTCACCACTTCTGTTCAACATAGTGTTGGAATTCCTAGCCACAGTAATCAGAGAAGAAAAAAAACCTATCCAACTTGGAAAGGAAGAGGTAAAACTGTCACGATGTGCAGATGACATGATACAATATACATAGAAAATTCTAGAGACTCCACCCAAGAACTACTAAAACTGATAAATGAATTCAGCAGGGTAGCAGGATGCGAGATTAACATACAGAAATATGTTGCATTTCTATATACTAATAATGAAGTATCAGAAAAGGAAAGTAAAAAAAAAAAAATCCTGTTTAGAATCAAATAAAAAAAAAAGAACAAAGGAGGCAACCAAGTAGGTAAAAGACCCATATGCTGAGAACTATAAAACACAGATAAAGGAAACAGAAGATGATTCAAAGAAATGGAAGGATATTCCATGCTCTTGGATTGGAAGAATTAACACTGTTAAAATGGCCACACTACCCAGAGCAATTTACAGATTTAATGTGACCTCTATCAAATTACCTGTGACATTGTTAACAAAACTAGAACAAATAATCCTAAAATGTATATGGAAGCATAAAAGACCCAGAATTGCCAAAGCAATTTGGTGGGAAAAGAACAAAGCTGGAGGTATAACTGTCCCAGACTTCAGAAAATGCCAAAAAGCCACAGTAATCAAAACAGTATGGTACTGGCACAAAAACAGACATATGAATCAAGAGAAAAAATGGACAGCTCAGAAATAAATCTATACACTTCGGATCAGTCTTCAACAAGAGTCAAGAATATACAATGCAGAACAGTCTCTTTAGCAAGTAGTGTTGGGACAGCTACAGTCACATGTAAATAAAGTTAGAACACTCCCTCACACCCTGCACAAAATAAACTCAAAATGGCTTAAAGACTTAAATATAAGACATGACACCATTAAACTCCTAGAAGAGAACATAGGCAAAGAATTCTCTGACATAAATTGCAGCAATGTTTCTTAGGTCAATCTTCCAAGGCAATAGAAATAAAAGCAAAAATAAACAAATGAGCCTCAAACTTATAAGCTTTTGTACAGCAAAGGAACCATAAACAAAATGAACAGACAACATACAGACTGGGAAAAACACTTGCAATTGATGCAACCAATAAGGGCTTAATTTTCCAAAATATACAAACATCTCATACAGTTTAATATTTTTTTAAAAAAACCAACCCTAACAAAAAATGTACAGAATATCTAAATAGACATTTCCCCAAATAAGACATACAGACGGTCAATAGGCACATGAAAAAATGGTCAACTATGCTAATTATTAGAGAAATGTAAATCAAAAGCACAATGAGGTATTACCTCGCACTGGTCAGAATGGCCATCATTAAAAAGTCTATAAAGAATAAAACAGACATGAGCAATAAATAACTGAAATGAAAAATACACTAGAAGGAATCAATAGCAGAATAACTGAGGCAGAAGAACAGGTAAGTGACTGAGAAGACAGAATGGTGGAAATCTCTGCTATGCAACACAATAAAGAATGAAATGAGGACAGTCTCAGACACCTCTGGGACAACATTAAATGCACCAATATTTGAATTATAGGGGTCCCAGAAGAAAAAGAGAACGGGCCTGAGAAAACACTGGATGAGATTATAGTCACAAACTTTTCTAACACAGAAAAGGAAAGAGTCACCCAAGTCCAGGAAGTGCTGGGGGCCGCACGCAGGATAAACCCCAGGAGGAACACACTGAGATGCCCATTAATCGAGAAAGTCTACAAATAATAAATGCTGGAGAGGGTGTGGAGGAAAAAGGAACCCTCCTACGTTGTTGGCAGGAATGTAAACTGGGGCAACCACAACTGAAAACAGTATGAAGTTTCCTGAAAAAAATAAAAATAGAGCTGCCATATGATCCAGCAATCCCACTCCTGGGCATATATCCAGAGAAAACTCTAATTCAAAAAGATGGATGCACCTCAATGTTCAGAATAACTCTATTTACAATAGCCAAGACATGGAGGCAACCAAATGGCCATCAATAGATAAATGGATAATAAGAGATGTGGTATATATAATGGAATATTACTCAGCCATAAAAATAATGAAATAACGCCATTTGTAGCAAGATGGACCAACCTAGAGATTATCATACTAACTGAAAGAAGAGAAAGACAAATGATATTGTATCACTTAGATGTGGAATCTAAAATATGATACAAATGAGTTCATTTACAAAACAGAAATAGATTCACAGACACAGAAAACAAACTCATGGTTGCCAGAGCCAGAAAGGAAGGGAGAGAGATAATTTGGGAGTTTGGGATTAGCAGATACAAACTACATATATAAAATAAATAAACAATAAAGTCCTACTGTATAGCCCAGGGAACTATATTCAATATTCTGTCATAAACCATAATGGAAAACAATAGGAAAAAGAATATATACATATATATGTATAGTACAACTGAATAACTTTCTGTACACCCAAAACTAATGCAACATTGCAAATCAATTCTACTTCAATTTAAAAAATAAAATAATAATAAAAATAAAACAATAGGAGTAGGAAAAAATCAACAGTAAGAAAACATATAGATCACTTAGAAAATGAGCAAAAGACATGAACTGTCACTTCACCAAACAATATACAGATGGCACATAAATACATGAAAACATGTTCCACATCATTAGCCACTAGGGAAATGCAAAATAAAACCACAGTGAGTTATCACTACATACCTATCAGAATGGCTACAATAAAAAATAATGATAACACCAAACACTGATGAAGATGCAAAGAAATTGGGTCCCTCATATATTGCTGGTAGGAATATATATGTTTTCACTCTGGAAAACAGCTTGGTACTTTCTTCACAAGCCAAATATAAACTAACATATGACCCAGCAATTGCTCTCCTGAGCTTTAATCCCAGAGAAAGGAAGACTTACATTCACACAAAAACCTATTCACAAAGCTTTATAGCAGCTTTATTTCCAATACCTCAAACCGGAAACAACTCTCATGTCCTTCAATGGATGAATCATTAAACAAACTGGTACATCCATTCCATGACCTCAGCAATAAATAAAGAATGAACTACTGATACACAAAGCAACCTGGATGAATCTCCAGAGTTTGCTGGGTGAAAAAAAGGTCAATCCCAAAAGGTTCAATATAAGTTCACTTGTACAACACTCTTGAAATAACAAAATTATGTAATCTGGACAACAAATTGGTTGCCTGGAGTTGAGGGGATGAGGAAGGAGGAAAGTAGGTATGGCAGTAAAAGGGAAACATGAAGGAACTATTCTGTATCTTGACTATGTCAATGGCAATATCCTAACTGTGTTATTGCTTCTAGTTTTTCAAGATATTTCATTTAGGGGAAACTGGGTGAAGGGTACACCTCTATATTATTTCTTCCAGCTGTAGGTGGGTCTACAATTATCTCAAAATTAAGAGTTTAATTAAAAACATGGTTGAGATTTTGTGGTTAAAAAAATGGAATTCTAAAAAAAAATGGAATTCTAAAGAAAAACTGAGAGACTTTAGGTAGCGACAATTAGTAATTTTGAAAACCTCACTCTCTCAAGGAAAAACCTCTCTCTTGGACTTATATTGATCTCTTTACTGAATATGGGAGTGAGTGGGGTGGGGGGGACAGTGCATGTACACTGAATTAATTCTAACAGAATACACAAAGTAGATTTTTAGAGCAAGGTGGAATTTTAGAGAGCATTGACTTCAGCTGAATGCATTAATGTAAGAAAGGGCTGAGGACCAGAGTGGCCATTATACCAGGAAGCCTAGGGTCAGGGCAGGTATCCAAATAAACATATTCTCAGGGCATTTAAAAACAGAAGGTTGGAATAGTGTTTAAAAATCATGACCAGAAATGAAGTTAGATCATTCTCATAGAAATAAAGGTAAGAGTCTTAAAGGAGAATGAACTCAGCAAAGAAAAAAAAAAAATACAATTTATACTATCACAGTACCTAAGGACTACAAATACTTAGGGTACATATTGGGCAGAAGCTCACATATTTCGTTTCTTCCCTAGACAAAAGCCATCTTCTAACACAGACGTAGGGAAATGCAGCACATCTTGGACGCCACCCAGAAATCTCCCTTTGATAAGCCAGAGGACTCTTACAAGAAGCGCTTCAAAATGGTTTCAGTCTCTGTCCCAGAAGTCATCTGAAAGTTCGCTGCCTCTCAGAGGGCCCAAGAGGAGGAAAAAATATTCTCGAGTCAAGGCCACAAAGACTAAAGACATGAAAGCTGCCAGCAGCAAATGGGAGATGACTCCCTCAAGTTCTGAGAAGGATGCAGACAAGAGTCTGCAAGCTGAAGGATCCAGCCAGCAAGGCTCTATGCAGACAGCCCCCCATCCAACTAAAACTAAGGGAGGGCGGCCAAAAAAGAAGCATGGACAGCCCACTTTTCACCTGAAGTTGCAGAGGGACATATAATCTAGCTTTTTGCTGCTCTGAAAACTGTGGACGAGAGATAACATATGCTAACACAGTAAAAAGAAAAAGAAGACAAAGGAAAGCCCTCCTGGCCCCTCAATCCCTACCCCCTCCCACCTGTTCATGTGCATGTACTAAACTACAAATTTCAGATATCCTATCTTCTTTAGTGGGGACATCTTTCAAAGTTAAAAAGAAATCCAGAAATAATATAGAAAATGAAAAATCACTTAGATATTTATATTTAATTTTTGTCAAGATAAAAAAAAAAGTCTGAACTTTTTATTTCTTCTGAAATTATTTATTCACACAACACCAAAAGACCAAGACCTCAAGGCAAGGATGACATGTACTGCTGTTAATGTTCCTACTAGGCACTTTAATGAATCAGTCAACAAACATTGTTTCTTTAACTTCTATCTTGCAGTGTGCTAGAAACCATTAGTGACTTACTGCAGAGGAACAGGTATATCGGGCAAATAAATCAAGATGTATGGGGTAAGTGAGAAGAGAGTCAATCTGCCTGGAGTTGCAGGTCAACAATGGTGGCCACTACAGGATAAAGCCACTGAGAATCAGGAGAGCTAGTTCAAGTTACAGGCCACAAGCTTCATTAGGGTCCCAGGAGCAAGACACAGCTAGAAGATCTGAGGTTGGGGAATGTACTCTCAACAATATTTCCAATGGCCAAAGAGGGTTCAAGGAGAGCTCATTGGGGTATTAAAAGAGTAACTGTTATGTTCTGGTCTTGGTTTTAATAGACTTTATTTTTTAAGGAAGTTTTAGGTTCACAGCAATACTAATCAGAAGGTAGACTCCTATTATTACCATCCCACCAGAATGATTCATTTGTTACAACTGATGAACCTACACTGATACCTCATTATCATCCAAAGTCCATAGTGCACATCAGGGTTTGCTCTTGGTATTGTACATTCTATGGGTTTGGATAAATGTATAATGAAATGTATCTACCATTATAGTATCATACAAATTAGTTTCACTGCCCTAAAAATTCTCTATGCTCTACCTATTCATCCCCCTCTCCCACTCAAACCCTGGCAACCACTGATCTTTTTACTGTCTCCCTAGTTTTGCCTTTTCCAGAATATCACATCATTGAAATCATAAAGTATGTAGCCTTTTCAGATTGGCATCTTTCACTTAGTAATATTCATGTAAGTTCTATCATGTCTTTTCATGGCTTGATAGCTCATTTCTGTACAGCACTGAATTCCATTGAAAATAAAATTTACAAACTTCTCGCAATGTTAACTAAGAAAAAAGACACAAATTACTAACATCAGAAACAAAAGAGGGGCCACTAACATTGATCCCATGGAAATTAAAAAGATAATTAAGGAATATTATGAACAACTCTTGACCCACAAATGTGATAACCTAGATGGAATGGGCTAATTCTTTGAAAGACACAATTTGTCAAAATTCACGCAAAAAGAAATAGACGATTTAAAGAGGCCTATATGAATTAAAGAAATTAAATCAATAAATAGTAACCTGCCAAAAGAGAAATCACCAGGCCCAGGCAAGTTCACTGATGAATTCTACCAAAAATTTAAGGAAGAAATTATACCAGTTCTCTACAATCTCTTCCAGAAGACACAAGCAAAAAGACTACTTAATAACATAATCTATGGGGCCAGCATTACCCTAATGCTAAAACCAGACAAACATATTACAGGAAAAGAAAATTACAAACCAATATCTTCTGTGAACATAGATGCAAAAATCCTCAACAAAGCATTAGAAAATAGAAGCCAATAATGTATAAAATGAATTATATACCATGGTCAAGTAGACTTTATTCTAGGTATGCAAGCCTGATTCAATATTCAATTATCAATATAATCCATCACAACAACAGAATAAGGAAGAAAAATTATATAACATCAATATATACAGAAAAAGAATTAAACAAAATCCCACACCCATTCATGAATAGAAATGCTCAGCAAAGTTTTCCTCAATTTGATTAAAAAATATCTACCAAAAAATCTATAGCTCACATTGTATTTAATGATGAAACTAGATACGTCCCTGTTAAGATAAGAAATAAGGCAAAGGTGTCTGCTCTCCCAATCAACATCATACTGGAAGCACTAGGTAATTCAATAAGATAGTAAAATATAAGGAAGAAAAAAAATAAAATATAAGGAAGAAATAAAACTGTATTTGTTGACAGAATATATGGTTATCTATGTAAAAAATTCCAAAGAATCAACAAAAAACAACCTGCTGGAAGTATAAGCAATTATAGCAAGATTGTAAGATACAAGGTTAATATACAAAAGTCACCATCTTATACACCAACAATGAATACTAGAGTTTGAAATTAAAAACACAATACCATTTACATCAGCGCCAAAAATTCAAATACTTGGGTATAAATCAAAACTGTTCAAGATTTACATAAGGAATACTGTAAAATTCTGATGAAAGAAGTCAAAGATTAAGTAAATGGAGAAATATTCCATGTGCACATAGGAAGACTCACCACCATTAAGAGATCAGTTCTTTCCAACCTGAAGTACAGATTCAATGAAATCCCAATCGAAATTCTAGCAAATTATCAACTAACTTGATTCTAAAGTTTATATAGAAAGATTAAAGATTCAGAATGTCCAATACAACACCCAAACAGCAGAAGAAGTGACAGGACTGATGTTATTTGACTCCAAGACTTAAAAGACTTACAATCTATAAAAGAGCATTAATCAAGACAGTGTGGTGCTCACTTTAGCAGCACATATACTAAAATTGGAATGATACAGAGAAGATGAGCATGGCCCCTGGGCAAGGATGACATCCAAATTCATGAAGTGCTCCATAAAAAAAGACAAGTGTGGTACTGGCAAACCTGAATTTCATGTCCAACAAAAAAGAAGAAAAAACTTTTCAAATGAAGGCCTCTGTGACAGGTGGGCTAAGTATGAGCTGTGACCCCATCCTCTCTGCAGACATGACCCAGATTTGGCACCATCTTTGGTTCCCCACACAAGGCAACAGTGATGCCTGATAGAGCCTGGGTTTCTGACTTGGCACTGATGCTACTGACCTCGGCAGAAGGGCTTTATAACAGGAAACACAGACATACACTAACTCTAGGGCTTTCATCCTGATACCATTAAATTGTTCTTTTATAATTAGGCTTTAAGATAAGAATGATCTGCCCATTATCACCAAAAGTTGTACTTCACCTTTACCGCAGAAAGGCGGGCACCCTTTCTGCACACTGTTTTTCTGGGAACCTCTCCTTCTATACTATCACAGCCAGATTCTCTACTTTCAGAAACATGGATTCCTAGTTGTCAACTTGTCTTTCAAACAAATAAACTATAAAGAAAGAAACAACTATCACTTCATCAAACATTTGGCCATCTTCACCCCTCGCCTCCAAGCCTGGTAAGAGCCTCTGTTCTCCACATTCCTAGATGGACCATTGACCCAAATCCTGGAGGCCCCTCCAGGATCCCCAGACCAGTATCTGCAGACTGTTCTATCCTCTCTTCTTTGGGAAAAGTTTGTGAGGAGAGAACCGTTCATGGCAGAGTCCTCCGTGATGGACAAGAGAGGCTCTGGGCCTGAGTCTGCTAGAGAGAAACCAGGAGAGTGAGGTTCTGTTTAAAGAAATAAAAGATGGCAGAGTTCGCTGATAGAATGACGCACTCCCTCAGCAGAGGCAACAACAGCCCTGAAGACGCTCTGTGCCGATGGTGGCAGGGCCACCGAGGGCAGGCACCTGGGCAGAGTCATCCCATCTGAGAACACCTGGGCTGAACCACGACAAGGCTCCACTGAGATGACACGAAAGGTGAGGACATCGACGGTTCCTCCTGATTCTCCTGAGTTCTAGCTGAACTCCAGATCAGTGAGGAAATACCTTGGGGGAGGCCCTTCATTTCTCTGACCCGGCTTGTCTGCGCTGCCCGACACGGGCTCAAAAGGGCCTACAGAGAAGAGAGACCCCTGCAGCCTCTGTAGGCAGGATCAGGCTTCAAGGCTACAGAAGGAAATTCCAGATCTGGAGAGCCTCACCCAGGAACGTGGCCCGTGCGTCCTCTGCTCCGGCACGTCTCGGCACTATGCCCTGACGTGCTTGTGTTCAGAGAGCAGGTTACAGCACGCCGCCACTCTGCTCTCTGGCTTTATGCAACATCAGGTGGGGCCCAGAGCAGCCGCAGCTTGTGCGTTCTTTTCTGACTGCTGTCAGCGTTTTACATTTTCCTGACGCACAGGACAAATATCACTTTCTATGTGTGCAACGGTGAACAGAACAAAGCGTGGAACGTTTTCTTCAACTAGGCCTCCCTTGCCCTGCCCCACCGATGGTCTAGCCTGCGTGCCAGGCACTTGTTTGTTTCAATGTACTCACTCCACAGGGGCAGAAGCAGGCAGTGTGGTTCGCGGCATCCTAACAGCCAGAGGCCTGGCGTCCGTGCCTTTGGAGCCACGGAGGGCCTTCAGACAGCCACAGAAGCAGCTGTCCGGCTGCTCCTGGAGCAGCGCTCTGACGGTGCTCTCTGACTACTTGAAGCAAAGCCCCATGGGTTTTCCTTCAGTAGGTGCTTCTGTGATTTATTTTTTAGTAAGAAGCCAACAGAGTTTAAGGAAGAACAAAGAGCTAGTCAAAAGTTTTTCTGCCCTGGATAAAGAATATTATTATGTCAGTGAAAAGATTAGTTTACACAAACCTATATAAGGCCTCAAACTGCCTTTCACAGAGGCCAGTCCTCCAAGGGTACAAAGTCTGCGTTAGGCAGCACTTAAATGTGAAAGGGTCCACTCTTCACTTGAGGACACAGCAGATCAAAATGAATCAAAAAGCGATGTTCCTTAACTCTCACATCATGGTGTGCTAATGACTCACCTTTAAGAACACATGCAACCAGTCAGAAAGGGATGGGAATCCTTTTAGCCCCAACTAACTAAAGCCCAAAGCATCTCAGAAAAAAAGTATGTAGAATAACTTCAAAGGGAAATAATGGATGGTCTGGATGAAAACACTCATCTTTCAGGAAAACCTAAACCTGCCTTCCCAAGAAGACGAGGGACAGCGGAGCGTGGGAACTGAAGGACCAGAAAAAGAGAAGTGCTTGCAAACGACTACACGTGAGTAAGACAGGCAGTAAGTGATAAAAGGGATCCCTTACAGACTCTTACTCAAACTGTGCTGCTGGTGGTAAGGTTACCTGCTCTCTTTAGAGAAGATCGTATAGAGGATGACAACGTCTCCCTTTCCAAGGAAGGATGAGGGTCACACCATGAGGTCACCACAAGGGATGCAGGGTCCCATGCAGGTTCATTTCAGATTTCAGAGCAGCCCTCTCCAGAACATCCACATGCACTGCAGGACATCTGATGGGTTGCTTTCTCTCTCTTTTAAAGTGATTTAGATTAACCTCGATTTAGTTTAACAGCTGTTACTTGATTTTTTGTCTTTTTCTTATTGCTTGATATAACTGTTCATTCCTAAGAGTATTTTTAAATACATATGGTTTTGATTGTAATATGTTATTTACATTTCATTAAGTCCCCTAAAATTAGAAGATATAAGTATTGTATTTTTACTCTTAATTAAACCATCATCAGTGTTTTACACAACTAGATGGAGATATGTGAAACAGAGGGGGACAAAAGACTATTACAATATATGTATCTATTAGAAGTCTATATAAGTAGCTTAATATTTAACCTTAGTAAATTGTTATTGGTTTATCAGCTTCAAGAAAACAAAACCCTAAACAACCACAAAGACATTCCCAGCTAAACCTATCAGTACTTTTATTAATTTAAAACCATTGTTTCTTATTTTGTAATTTTCTGTAATTTATCATTTCAGATTTGTTCATGATATTCTTTGCTATCTAAATGTCTTTAGATTTTATGCAGTTAAAATTTTTTCCCTTTAAAAAATTATAAAGGGGCACAAATCCAGTTCTAGAACTACAACCTGAGAAAACCCTCCATCCACTCCCCAGTGAGAATACCAAAACTGGTTTAAAAAAAAACAAATTAAGTCTTTAGAAACGGTCATAAGGGACTTTCCTTCCCTTCCCAAGTGGTCCACTGGCTAAGACTCCACAGTCCCAATGCAGGGGGCCAGGGTTCAATCCCACGTCAAGGAACTAGATCCTACACACCACAACTAAAGATCTCGCATGCCGCTACTAAGACCCGGCGAAGCCAAAGAAATAAATATTTTTCTATAAAGAAACTGTCCCAACAACACTTAACAAGTGAAGAAACATTTATTTTAAAAAGTCTGCTGAATCTCAGTAAGGGCAGTGAGAGTTCACGGCACTTAAACCACCACCCACTTCGCTCTTCACCCCAGTGGAGAGTGAGGGAAACGCCACTCTGTGCAGTGTGTGACCAAGGCTGAGCGCTCTGGAGTGCCCCCTACTTACACTGATTTGTTTGAAACGGAATGTGAAGTTCCTAAGGATGCTATCAGAAACAATGGAGATGTGGGTGGTTAGCAGGTAAGGGGAGCCAGGAGCTTGATGGCGCTTCCCTGGTGGCGCAGTCCACCTGCAGTGCTGGAGACCTGGGTTCTGTTCCTGGATTCAGAAGATCCGGGAGAAGGGACAGGCTACCCACCCCAGTATTCACGGGGCTTCCCTGGTGGCTCAGACGGTGAAGAATCCCTGGGTCGGTAGGATCCCCTGGAGAAGGGCATGGCTACCCACTCCAGTGTTCCTGCCTGGAGAACCCCATGGACAGAGGAGCCTGGCGGGCTACAGTCCACGGGGTCGCAGAGGGTCGGACACGACTGAGTGACGAAGCACAGCACACACAGGAGTGTGATAAAGCAACGAATTCGGAAAGCCGCGGTGCTGCCAGAGCAACCAGTGAAGGAGAGCCAGAGCGCCCTCCTAGGGCTTAAAGAAAAATTAGACTTTCAGTAAAAACTAGCAAACTGGACACATATTTAATTTTGCTCCTTCTCAAAAACCCACTAAAATAACAATCAGTGTTATAAGACAAAGCTACAAGGATGAGATGAGGACAGGAGGCCATTTTGGAAGCCAGAAGAAAAGATGGCTTTAACCTTCTCAACTTTAGTGAAAGCTAGATGGAATGGAACAACACTTTTAAAAGTATAAAGGCAAATTATTTTTAACCTAAAATTCTATATTCTTCTATATTTGATCAAATTTAAGAGTAGATAAAGAATAGATTGAAAAAAGCCTTTGATGCAGGAAATGGGTGATCCAACACTGGAGAGAGGCAGTAAGAACCCCGGGATGGTGGTGGTGAAATGAAATGCCAGGACGACAGCTGCGTATCAGTCCAGACTGGAGCAGGCTGGAAGGCACTGGCAGGGATTATCCTGGGAGAAGATCAGACACCATGCGTAAAAATTCCTTGAAAAATACGAGGCAGACTTAAGGGCTGGGTTAGTGTAAAATACACAGAAAACCAAGGAAACAAACAGAAACTTAGGTGAGTATCACCTGTAGAATAAGATAAACATTTATGCAGGAAAAGAAAGGAAATCATCATTTTCTACCTGGTTCAACTACTATACATGGTACGTCAGTTCAGTTCAGTTGTTCAGTCACATCCGACTCTCTGTGATCCCAAGGACGCAGCACTCCAGGCCTCCCTGTCCATCACCAACTCCCGGAGTTTACCCAAACTCATGTCCATTGAGTCGGTGATGCCATCTAACCATCTCATCCTCTGCCATCCCCTTCTGCTCCCGCCTTCAATCTTTCCCAGCACTGGGGTCTTTTCCAAGGAGTCAGTTCCTCGCATCAGGTGGCCAAAGTACTGGAGTTTCAGCTTCAGCATCAGCCCTTCCAATGAATACTCAGGACTGATTTCCTTTAGGATGGACTGGTTGGATCTCCTTGTAGTCCAAGGGTCTCTCAAGAGTCTTCACCAACACCACAGTTAAAATGCAATTCTTCTGCACTCAGCTTTCCTCACAGTCCAACTCTCACATCCATACATGACCACTGGAAAAACCATAGCCTTGACTAGACAGACCTTTGTTGGCAAAGTAATGCCTCTGCTTTTTAATATGCTATCTAGGCTGGTCATAACTTTTCTTCCAAGGAGCAAGCGTCTTTTAATTTCATGGCTGCAGTCACTGTCTGCAGTGATTTTGGCACCCCCCAACATAAAGTCTGCCACTGTTTCCACTGTTTCCCCATCTATTTGCCATGAAGTGATGGGACCAGATGCCATGATCTTAGTTTCCTGAATGTTGAGTTTTAAGCCAACTTTTTCACTCTCCTCTTTCCACTTTCATCAAGAGGCTCTTTAGTTCATTTTCTGCCATAAGGGTAGTATCATCTGCATATCTGAGATTACTGATATATGATATTTACATATTTACAATATTGTAGACACTATCAGTATAAACAATGACCAATTTGAAAGAGGGAATGAGGACTTGTACTTGTGGAACAGGAGTGAGGAGGAAAAAAGCTACATATAAAAATTATGCTTGAAACTGAAGAACCAAGTTGTACCATTACAAGCATGTTACATACAGAACTGAATGTAAATGTAAACATAAATACCTAGAGAATCAGGTAAAACAGGTGAAGTGCTTACCCTGGAGAAGAAGGGGATAATGTGGGACTGCTGTTTTCCATAACAAGCTTGACAAACTCTTGACTCTAAAAACTATGTGAATTCTAACTTCAAATAAAAATTTAAAATGTATACTTCTATCTCTCCTATACTATGTCACTTCATTCACCAGTGTTCAATTTTCATGACTAGTTTATACTAATACAAAAGAATTAATTTTGTCTCTGCCTTAAAGGCATTACTATGAAAGCTATGAAGACATTCAGAAATCCTGCTTTTAATAATAACAGTTATCATTACTGTGTGCCCAATACTGTACTAAGAACCTTGATGCATAATCTCCAATTTCCACAACAGCCATGCAAAGTAGGTATTGTTTCCATTCTATAGATGAGAAACTGATGCTCAGAGATGTTAAATAATCTGCTAACCTGCAGCACAGCTCCCTGATCCCAAGGTTTCTGTTCTTTTCATTAGATCACATCACCTCTTTCTAGGGTTTGAGTTTAAAGAAAATAAAAAGGGGGGGGAAATGCAACAGTTCTATTAAGTCCTTTGCAGGAAGGACAGGGAACGGAAGAGGAACCCTGAAGGATTCAGAAATATTACTAGGTAGCTCTCTACTGACTTAACCGAGCTTAACCCCAAATTGGAATTTCCAGCTGGTCATGTGAGCACAGAAAGCAATTTTTAAACTCTGGCTAGGAGCCCCTATGATTACAAAAATAAGAGCTCCATTCTGCTCTTATTTTGAAAGGAGATGTTTCAGCTGCTCTAGCATGGGCCTAAACACCCTGGTGAGGACGCTAAGAAGACACGGTTTTGTGTCCAGGGACCCCCAGTCATCCTGCAAAGCTGATTTCTGAAACGGCAAGGACAGAGGCATAGGTGCTTCCCCGCAGTGACCGGGGTCTGGAATCTTGAACTAGTCCATCTTGAGGGTCCCTTCTGAGTAAGATTCTAGGTTGTGTTTATCTTGGTTTAAAACATGAGGAGTTTTGAAAGTGTCTTGGCCAGTCTATTTTCTGGAATCATTGTGTGTTATCATCCAGACACTTACCTGGCTATTTAGGTCTGCTGGCTGCTTGGCTCAGGTGTGGGTAAAGTGCCCAGTTTGGAGAAGAGAAATGTTGTTTACATTCTTTCTTTCTGAAAAGTCACAAGCCACCGGCAAGAAATGAAAGTGAAATCAGGGGACAGTGTCATCAGTCAGCAGAAATGTGCCAAAGTTCAGAGAGCTGTTTACTTAGGCACGACATGCCTGCCAGCCAGTCATAAGCCCGGGGCTGCATTGATCTGCCGGCCCCTCTCCACCGGCCTGGATTCTGGAGCCTGGACACTAGGAAGCCAGCGAGAGAGAAGAACCCACCGAACCTGATTTCCTGCTCCTCCTCTTGAAAAGCGCTTTGTGCGTTCTGCATCTTCTCTTCGGTAAGTACCTGCCTTGCGTGCCCAACAGCTCGCCCAGATGCCTGCTGCTCTGAAGACAAGTAGGCTTTCCTCTCAGACCCTGCATTCTAACCATGGACCTGGGGAAACAACCGGTAGTCAGGGTCTGGGGACCACCACCCACCCCCATGGATGACCCACCTCCAAGAGCTCAGCTCTCCCCTCCTCCTTCCCCCTATTCCCTTCAGCATCAGCCTGTGGGCCTCTGGCCTCTAAGGCGGTGCAGGTAATGCCAGTATGACTGGTTAGAAATGCAGAGGAGAGCGATGGGCAGTAGGATTTTGCACAGAGTCTACACAAATAATAGTCTATGGCGCATGAAGTGGAAAAGACGGCCAAACAAAAGCAGATCACAGACTTGCAGTAGCTAAACAGGAATACCATGAGTCCTCCTGAAAATACGCACTGTGGACTAAGACTGTCAGAAAGACCACTCTGCTCTCAACTCAGAAAGAAGACAGTAGGATCTAAGAGATTTTTAGACCTGGTGTTATTAGATTACATTGCTTTTCACAACTTGATGGAAATTCACAGTGGGATTTTAGTTGTTGGTGCAGATGTTTCCCCTAAAATTTCCAGTTAGCTTCTTCACCTGTAAAATCAAACGCTCCTTGGGAAAAGATAAACACGCATGTATTTGGGATTGTCTTTCCTTCCTCCCTCGTGACAACTGAAGTGCATTTTTCAGTATCTTCTTCCTAAACCGCACCTCTCCCAAACTCCCGAATCCGTGCCTATGACAGTCTCCTTTTGATTTTGCATATTCCCCTTTCTCAACACTCTTTCTGGCCAACCCACCTGCTTTATCTAATCGCTAACACTGTTTTCTAAATTTCACTTTTACATAAATAGAACGCATGACTCTGGAAATATTTTTAATGTGAAAAGAAAAGAACTCTTGCCCATAATGCCCAGAGATACCAGAACTAACATCATTTTAGAACATTTCCTTAGTATCTTTCTTGCGGTCACACTGTTTAGTGTGATTTTAGACCTGGTTTTTCTAAAGGCTACATAGAGTTTTATTATCTTGATATGTCATAATTTGATTCTAATGTTGCTTCTCATTTTTGGCTAAAGTAATACTATGATAAACATTCCTGTATATAAATCACTGACGGCATTTCTGATTGCTGCCTGACTCATAAGGGGAATTAGTTGCCCAAAGGGTTATGATTTTTAGTGTTTTTAGTGCTTTTTGCTCTCCTGCCTCCCAGAAAGTTTGTAAGAATTTTCACATCCACCATTATTCTATGAAGATGCCAGTTTTCTTGCACTCTTGGTATCTAGTGTTTTTATCTGCAGTTTTGATGGGGAAACTCAGACTATTTGGCATATCCTTGACTATTTACTTGAGGTGTAGACTTTTTTTTCATGTTAGTTAATGTGACAGAGTGATTTACAATAAGAAACAGATATTCCGTCTCTGTCCCCATAAAACCCTTGGCATTTCCTAAGTGATAATAGAGGTGAATGTGTTTGTTTGTTTTAATTCATTACAAACCCTTTTCAGCCACCTTTGAGTCCATGTTAATGACTCGGCTTCTGGAAGGCCCCTAAGGAGAGGGCTGGTTGCCAGGGAAACAGCCACATCCTTACAGGGCTGGGCCTTCAGCCCAACCTCCAGGGAGGCGAGAGGGATGGAGACAGAGTGTCCCCGATGGGCCGATGATTTCATAGATCACACCTGAGTAAAGGAACTTCATAAAAAAAACCCCTACAGGACAAGGCTCAAGGGCTTCTGGGCTGATGGAAGCATGGAGGCGCCGGGAGGGTGGCAGGCCCAGACAGGACATGGCAGCTCCGCGACCCCTCCCCGCATCCTCTGCCCCGAGCGTCTTTAGGGTGGCTGCTCCTGGGCTGTGAACCAGTACTCTGATAACGCAGACTGCTGGCCGGAGTTCTGTGAGCCGCTCCAGTAAATTAATCAGACCCAAGGAGGGGGATGTGGGGACCTCCAAGCTGTCGCTGGTTGGTCAGAAGCGCAGGTGACGTCACAGGCTTGTGACCGGGGGGACTGCGCCCTCAGCCTGTGGGAGGTGCCACCTCCAGGTAGACGGAGTCAGAGTGGAACTACAGGACACCCAGGTGTCGCAGAGAATTCCCTGGTGGGGAAAAACCCTCGCACGTTTGGTGGAGGGTACAAATAAGGAAAAAAGAGGTTTTTACAGTTAACTACTTTGCATTCCTTCTCAGGTGAAATATCTCTTCATGTGCCTCGTTCATTTTCATGGGGATTAAATGTTTTTTAACTTTTTGGCATAAACGTTTTTTTATATTAGGTATAGTAACCATTCCATATTGATTGCAAATATTTTTCCATGCTCACTGACTTTTAATTTTGTGTTTCCGTTGTATAGAAGTGTATATTTTCCCGGTTAAATCCATACCATTTTTCCTTTGTAGTTTCAATTTGCTTTTAAGCTCAGAGCATTCTTTTTTCATTCATAAATCAAATATTTACTTTTCTCTAGATCTTTTTTGTCTGCTTGTTCCTTATATCTCACTACTGGGTCCATGTGAAATTTATTTTGATATATGGAGTGAGATGAGGCCCTAAAATAGTTTTAACTAATTGCTTCAGCATTAGTTAAAGGAAAGCCCTTCCTTCCACTGAATTCTAATGCCACTCTTAATGGGGTATTAAGAGTGTACTCACAGGTGTGGCTTTTCTGAGATGGTCTGCTCTCTGAGCAGTCCAGCCAGTGCCCCCCCACCCTCCTCTGTTGGCTCCACTTTCCCCTCAGTCACCTCTACCTGGGAGCCGGGCACTGCAGTGACCCCAGTGATCAGTCTACCTTTGGAATCTTCCAGTGAATTGCATCTTCAAGCAAAGCAATATATAACAAGTATCTTTGGAGGTTTAATCCTCAAAGGCACGCATAGTAGGTTCTATAGAAACTGAGACACTTTATTCTGCACCCCTGGACTCACACCTCAGTTTTCTCAGCCCTGTCAAAAGGACAAGCCTGAAACAATTTAGTAGCTACTTGACTCATTCCTTCACTCACGGGAAAACAAGCCACAGATCAAGGGAGCATAGCACCTCACGAGCAGGGCAGCACCCTTCCTAGGGATCTGGGGCAAAAGTGAGCCCCACAGAGCACTGGAAGAAGTCATATGACTTGTAAGGACACCCTGACCTCGAAGCCAGCAGGCCCTGCTTCCTAGGGAAGGTGAACTGGCTGAGGCTGCTGAAGGGCTGTGGATGGTGTATGTTAGGCTTCCTTGACAGGTGTTTCTCATGCAGGCTGACTTGGGTTTAGATTTGTGACCTAAGCCAGGTCACTGGAGCCACATTTTATGAGCCTCAATACACAAATGAACTTCATCAGCCAAAACCTGTGGGGTTTGGGAGGAGATCCCCAGATCTTCTGTGAAGGCACAGACCTACTGCCCACTCGGCAGCAGGAGGGAGGTGGGGGTCTGACAGCAGAGACCCTGGCAGAGCAGAGAACACACAGGAGCCGCAACGTCAGCCCCTTCCCGAGCAGCCTGCCCGCAGCATCCCACCCACCGGCAAGCACCAGGCCTCAGTGAGCGGCCCTCCACGAGTGACCAGGGTAGATCTGCTCTCTGAGGGGCAGAGGGGGAGACCCCAGCACAGGTATAGCTCAGTTTGTCTGTGACTGGCTGTGAGTTATCTTGCTTGAGTTATGAAGCCATTTTACGTGCGCTACAAGCTCCAGGTGAGAGACGCATCCTCCTATGTGTGGATGGAGGGCAAGTCCTAGAAGACTTAGCTCCCTCCAGCCAACTCAAAAAATACCTTTTGCAAAACTGAAGGGCTGAGGCTTAGTGACGGTCTATCAATCTTCACCTCCTCCTCCTCTTTCCTTCTGACTGCTGGGGGCAAACTGCGATCACAACCTTTAGAGCAGAGCTCCTGGGCAGGACTGCCAGAGCCAAGGCCCAGCACTGCCCCCACCCCAACTCAGGAGCTCTCCACGCCCCCGGCCCTGCCGCCTGGGGCACGTGCCGCAGGTTTGGGGAGCAGGGCCTTGAGGTGAAGAAGCAGCTCCTGGTGAGGACACAATCCACACCTCTCACCCTGGCCTCCGAGGCCTCAGGGACCTGTGTACACTCATCCATCCAGCCTTGTCCCCCTGGTCAGCGGGCTGCCACTCCGCCCCCAGTCTGTTCCTCTCCCAATGCAGTATCTCTAACCACTGCCCCCTCCTTCTGGAAGACTCTTCCCCTGGATCTTTCACACCCCTCAGGCCTCAGATCAAATGCCTGCTTCGCACACAGGCCCTCCCCTGACCCTCCACTGGAGGCTCATCACTTCCTGCTGCCAGGTCCTCTCTTTCACGTCATCCTGTTTATCTGCTTCCCAAATCACTTCAAAACTTATAATTATCTTTGTGAAAACACGTGCTTGGTATTTGGTGCCCCAGCCAGAGTGCAAGCGCAAGGAATGCAGGCCCCTGCTCCGCCCTGCGTGCCGCTGACTGCCCAGGGCCTGTGACTCAGGGGATCATCCCACACGTGTGACCCCGGGGGTCACAGGATGAAACCCTGGCCTGGTCAGTATGAGGGGGGACAGTGACTCCAGGCAAGTGCAGGAGAGAGAGGACAGGAGCAGCGCAATCAAGACGGACAGCTGAAGGGACTTCCCTGGCGCCCCAGTGGTTAGGACTCCGGCTTCCAATGCAGGAGGCATGGATTTGACCCCTGGTCCGGAA